AGTCTAGAACGCGCATATGCTCTATTGTCAATCATAAAGCCGCGAACACTCTCCTGTAGGTTGCTGCACTTCTCTCATCCAGTTAAAACTGTGGAAGCTTCATTTTACTGGAACACTTACTTTCCGTGACTTCCTCGGGATCTATACGGTCGATGCATAGTCTTGAAGGATTAAAATGTTTCCAGGTCTTCTGTGAACGTCAAGCTCTGGATTAAGGACTTGTAAGCAGGCCCAAAGCATACATTATTGCAATCACCACTCCTTGCCAATAAGTCGAGAATAGTATTGACTTGAACCAAAGAAACTTAGCCAGAGGTTTTATATGTGCCAATTCGTCCTGCCATGTACCATTCTACTAAACACTATAGGGCCCAAAATTGACTAAATTTTAGGACAACATCAAAGTAAGGGTATCTACACCAAACAAATATATGTAGGGGGCATACAATAGATGAAGCACTAATTGATTCAACAATCTAACTTGTTACATTATCAAATTGTAACACTCAAGCCACGTTCAATGGTTATTACATCTTAATTCAAAATAAGGCAGCCCTAGTTTTTTCATGCATTCTCTGCCAAATCACAAATAAGCCAAGGAATGATAATAGTTGTACAAACAACAATGCCAAAGAAAAATAGAGTTTAGGAGAACAAGGACTACATTGAAGGGGTAAACGAAGTGCTTGTATTCGAGGTCAAACGATAAAAATGAGAATTTGTACTAACTTGTTCAGATGAGAAGTTGGAAGTTAAGTTATGGCCATCCTTTAGTAGCATTCTGTCACATATTTATGGATGAGCCTAGCCACCAACGATGAGCTGGTATACCATAAAATGCTCATCAGTACCGTTGTATCGAGACTCAAGAGACAACACAAAATATGATGACATTGCATCCAACAACAAATATAAATAGATAAAAGTAGGAAGTCAGTATTCATCAACCTGATTCCCATGCCAAACTCATTTCCTGGCTGCAGAGGTTGAGTTTATTTGTAACTTCTATACGCTAAGTGCACTAAAGCAGGCTTACAAAATCTTCAGTTTGCTTGCTTGGACTACACAAACCAGAAGTGATGTCATCACAACCAGATTCAATGTAGAAATGCATTTGCTAGCATGCATACACTTCCAGAAACTACTAAATAAACATCATTTGTGAGAGGCAGGTTAGTAAAACATCAACAGTACTGACATGCTTGCTTGATGGGTCCACACTTGTAGGGATTAAGAGCATCTCCAGCCATTGGCCACCCAGGGGGCGCGTAAAATTGCCGCCTGGGGGCGAGCCGGTGCTAAAATCAGCGTGGGGGCGAGCGGGTTCCCAGCCGCCGGCCCCAGGGCCGCCCCCCAGACGCCGTTTATGTTTTAGAAAAAGGGTATTCGACAAAGTTCGACAAATTGGAAAAATTATTCGGCTAAAGTTCGGCAAAATGGACATATATTCGACATATTCGACATTACATAGCAAAGTTATTTAAAAAAGGGCCGCAACTACAACTATTTAAGGGACGAAGAAGTCGCTGAGCGCGGCGAAGTCGCAGGCGTCGCCGCCATCCTCGCCGTCGTCGTCGGCGGCCTTCTCCTCCTTGATGCGGCCGCCCCTGCTGGACCCCTGCACGGCGTCGCCCTGGCGGACCGGTGACGGCGGCGCGTCGTCGTCGAGGACGGCAACGTCTCCCTCGTCGCGGCCCCGGCGCCGAACTTCGAACTACTCGTAGGCGCGACACCGGCGCTCCATCTCCATGCACGCCCAGTCTTCGCGCACCCATTTCAAGGACGCCGTGTCATTGGGCTCCTCCTTGACGCCGCCTGCGAGCCCGGGCTCCGTCTTCACGATGGTGGGCCCCGGCTCCGTCTTTGGTTTGACGTAGCGCGGAGAAGCCGAGGAGGAGGCGCGCCGGCCACCCTCGCTGATGACGATGTCGGCGCTGCGGGTGCGCCAGCCGAGCGACGTCTCCATGCGGGCTTGGCCTTGACGCCGAACACCGCCGGCGAGCTGGAAGAATGGGATGAGGAGCGGGAGGAGGACTGAGAGAAGGAAAGATGAGGAGGAGCCGAACCTCCTGGGCATTCATTGCCCGGCCTCCGGCAGGGGACCGGGGTGGCCGCCGCGGCAGGGTATGCCAGCGGCGGGTCATTGCCACCCTCGAGGTGCTCCAGCACATCATGGAATGTGCGGCCAGGGGCGCCCCCTCGCTGTTCTTCACGCCCCTACCACTGGCACCCCGTTGGTTGACGCCAGCGTCTGCGTCTGCCGGCGCTGGAAGTACGCCGCCCACGACGTGTGGTTGTCGGCGGCGTACTGGGGAAGGGCACGCTGCTCCTCTGTCAGGGACGCTCGCACGCAGTCGACCTCGGCGGCGAAGATGGCGGGGCACGCTTCAACGTCGGGCACCGAATGGGGACGCCCCCATTGCTGAGCCTCCACCCCGTCGGCCCGGCGCGCATGTCTGGTGGCGTCGGAATGTTCGCCTCGAACAAGAGATAGGCCTCCCACTCATGGAGCGAGCGGCGGCCGAAGCCGTTGGCTGCCGCCGCGTTGCCGGGGAATCGCTCGGCCATCGGATGGGCTTGGGGAGAGGGGGGAGGGGAGGAACATCAGCGGGCGGCTGCGCATGGGGAGAAAGGCAGAGCTCGGCGGCGGCTATGGGCTGGTGTGGCCAGAGGCGTGGGGGAGGTGCTGGTTTTATAGCCTCGCGCCATGTATACGCGTGGCGGGAGGGGAGGCGTCGCCGCGCCGCCCGTGATGAGGAATCAATGGCAAGGCCGACCGGCGGCAGCCTTGCCATTGATTCCACGCCGGAAACCGAGGCGTTCCGAGGACGACAAGGCGCGCGTCACTGACTCGGCGGGCCCGCGGCTCATTCGCGCCAAAATCGTTCGCCCCAGCGCCCCCGGGTGCCCCCCAGCGCGCCGGGTTCGGCC